TACCACACTGCTCTTCTTTCTCTCCATGGATCACGCCAGCCTTCTACTCAATTGTGATGAGAGAACTCGGATACCTTGGTTGCTGGTGAAGAATTCACATACAGGCTTATTATTATTATTATTTTTTCAATGGGAGCCACCTAATGCCACTGTTTCTAGTCGGCCATTTTGGCTGTACCCCCAATGGCATCTTATGGACAGTTGTGTTCCAAAGGAGGAATGAGAATAGCTGCTGAGGTCTTAAAAAGCAAGCCTGACTAGCCAGGGGCATACAGGTGCAAAACAGGAGGATGGACGTTGAAATGCTGGAGTTCTTGTCTGGACCAGCTGTATCATTTTACTACTGGTTACATGTTTTTATCTGCGAAGGACTTGGTCGGGTGCAGCTTTTGGAGACTTTTTAAAGGTATGAAGAGTCAGCTTGACTATAATGCATGGAGCAAGCTTTGAGTAAAGGACAAAAATCTTATGCTTGGAGAAGTGTACGCAGACTTATTATCCTACCAGCTTTTAGGGCTTTTAATGACCACAGTGGGCCTACAGCTTACTCATTGAAAGGGTTTCACTCAGTTGCCCAGGTTGTGCAGTGGTGCAGTCATAGCACACTGTAGCCTCAGACTGCTGGGCTCAAGGTATTCTCTGCCTAAGCCTCCCAAAGGGTTGGAATTACAGGCATAAGCCACTGCACCCAATCTAAAAGGGGTCTTTGTTGCAGGCAGCTTGGTGAATTCTCATGGGATAGAAGATTACACAATGTCTTTCAATTTTAATAAATTTCTGCACTACAGATTCATTTCCAACCTGATTATTGAAAGCATTCTGGTTACTTTCTATATTAGGAATCCTAGCTATAGCTGGAGATGGGAGGGAACATTTTGTCATTTTATTAATTAGAAGTTGATGTGGGCATAGAGAAGGGAATAAAGAAAAGAGGAGGTTTTCAAAAGACATGTGTACATGTCTTTTGTGTGGGTCCTTTCGTCCTCAGGTGAAATAGCTTTGGCTTACTGAGAACTGAAGGAGTGAACTCATGTGTTGGATTAGTTTTCTATCTGCCATCCCTCTCCTCAAGTTTTTATAAACTGTGTGTATCCCAGTACCAGCACCAGCATCCTTATCCTGCCATAACAAGCTTTTCCACAGCTTCAGCTAAACAGCACTACCTGCCTAAACCTGTCTGATCCATTCTTCTTCAACTCATTCATTCATTGAGGTGCCATGCTTTATCCGGGGATAAAAACGTGATTAGAAGATTGTGCTGCAGGGTTTCTCAGAGTTGGTTCTGTTCACTACCTGTATAAGCTTCATTAGAAGAATGTATTAAGATGCAGATTCCTGGGCTTCACCCACAGAGATTTTGATTCTGCTTTTCTGGGGTGAGTCCTGACATTTATGTAGGTGCTCACTAAATAAGATGTTAACTTACAAACTCACCCATAAGACCTCTGACCTTTTCATAAATATCTACATTTTAAAAATATACAGAAAGAATATATTGTGGTATATAAATCATCAAATTTCATAGGCATCTAATTATTTTTTAAAAATATTTTATTTGATTATATTTTACCTTTAGTTTCAGTCTTAGGACTACATTTTCTCCTTGCAGTTGTATATCTCTTGCATGTTGAGATTATTTTGTTATTTTGGTTTTTTTTTTTTCAAAGCATATTTCCATCTGATACAGTTAGATATTTGTCCCTGTCGAAAACTCATGTTGAAATGTAATCCCCAGTGTTGGGGGTGAGGCCTGGTGGTGGGTGTTTGGATTATGGAGACAGGTCCCTCACGAATGACTTGGGCAATCCCTTTGGTGATAAGTGAGCTCTTACTCTGAGTTCACATGAAATCTGGTCATTTAAAAGTGTGTGGCACCTCCTATCCCCTGCTCCTGCTTGTGTCACATGAGCCATCTACCCCTCCATCACCTTCCACCATGACTGGAAGCTTCCTGAGGCCTCCACAGAGGCAGATGCCAGTGCTATGCTTCCTGTACAGCCTGCAGAACCATGAGCCAATTAAACCTCTTTTCTTATAAATTACTAAGTGTCAAGTATTTCTTTACAGCAATGCAAAAATGGCCTAAATCACCATCCTATTTTTATCACTGGATCCTCATGAGATATGAATGAGGAGAACCCATTTCAGCTGAGGACACTGAGGCACAGATGCTAGGTCACTTGTCTAAGTGACTTACAGTCAGAGCTGTCAACCTCAGTTCTCACTCCAGAGATATTTCTGATTTGACTTGAGGCACTGTCTGCCTTCATGCTTGATCAGATTTATCTATGATGGATAGAGACCTTTGGAAGCCACCTGGAGCCTTCTCCTGCTATTGGGGCATCTAAAACAGGCCAGCTGAAGGAGAGTGTCATGTCTAAGGCTCCTTGGGAAAAGGCCTTACACTCCGGTGCTCTCCAGAGATGTTCCTCGACAAATGACCACCCTGTTCTCTGACCGTCTCCAGCCAAATCTGAATCAGTCCAGATTTGAGACAGGCTTCTCTGAGGCTCCAGGGCAACTGAATTTCTCTCCTTGAAAGTAGTCAATCACTCTGTCCCCTGTGCAGGTTGGCCTTGATTTATTTCCATCCCTCTGCTAGGCACAAGGCCAGCATACTTGTGTCTGGTAAGAGAGAGCTGAGGCCGATATGGTATCTCTTGAGGCACCTTGTGCAGTGGAAAGAACTCTGGGAGACCTGGCTCTGCATTCTGCATCTGGCTTTGTGACCTTGGACAAGTGGCTTAACTTTTCTGAGCTATGGTTTCCTCATCTGTGAAATAAGGATAATAATACATAACTCATGGGGCAATTTTAATACTAAAAATATCGTCTGTGAAGCAGTATCTGACCTTGTTGACCAGGGTTGGTGCATGGGGAATACTGATTCTCTTTCCCGTCTCTCCTTTCAGGGCACTGTTTTTCCTTTCCTCGGGTCTAGTCTGACCCCAAAGACTCCTCTCTGCAGCTGCGAGGGTAAACTGTCTCGTTAGAGATGACAACAGCTGCACAGTAGCACCCTGCTACTTAACCTTTGTTATTAGCAGGCAATTCTTTTTTAATTTTAAGTCCATCTTGTTGATCAGAGGTTTTCTGGTACTTTTCTTGGTACCCAAATCAACAGTAACATTATGTTCAGCCATAGCCTTCGGCAATAACCTCTTCTGCTGCCCTTAGTGATCCCAGCCCCAGCTCTCCGAAGGATGGTGCTTACCCAGGGCCAAGTCCAGCCTGGGCCTGAAAGACCTGCTTCCTCCTCAAGGAGGTACTCCTGACAATCAAGGGATCTTCTAGGTCTTGGTAATGAAAATCAAGAGAATGTTGATGCTGCTTCAAAGGGAATTTCTCACTGGGTGAGGCAGAGTGTGGTGATGCTGAAGTTCACCAGGTTGACTTGGGCTGTGGAACCCTTTCTTGAGGGAGTGGCTTTCCAAAATCAAGGAAGAAGGGTAGATATTCATCTGATTGTATGTCAGAAAGGATTTTATTAGCATAAATGTCCTTAAAATGAAAATAGAATTGTAGGCTCATATTTAAGATTAAACTCTGTCTCTCTTGAATCTCTAAAATATAAGCTATTTGGCTCTGCTTGTAAGTCAGCATAGATTGCACTATTTTTGTGGGTGTTTGCTTTTTTGAGTTTATTTTTTAGTCTGACCAGGTTATTAGAAGCATTTTACAGTTAAAATGTTTGCTTACCATCACTCAAAAATAGGGCTGGAGGAAACTCAAATATCATTGTTCTGTGTTTTGAAGCAGAAATGGAAAAAAAGTAGTTTAAGAAAGGCTTGTGTGAGATGCTGTCTTCACTGTTTTTGCAGAAAAGAAATCGCAGGAGTGGGGACTGGTTGCTTCTTCCCTTGCAGCTCTGAGCCCTGTGTTTCCTGACTGCACTCCCCTCAGGGCAGGCGGATGCACAGCTATACCTGAAGCCCCGATACCTCCCCAAGTAACATAAGAGGCACTTTCTGCCAGGCAAGTGACTAAAGGCGGAAATGGAAAATCCCATAGCAGGATCACAGGAGAATTCTCAGCGGGAGAGGGACTGTCTTTATACTCCCCAGACTCATTGCCAAAGCTGCCTGCCCTGTTGATCTGAAAACGGACTTTTCTTTAATCCAAGTTAGGCCAACGGGAGACTGGAATCAGGTCAGACAGGGGATTAGGGTGTGCAGTATTGTGGAGACCTGGGGAGTTTGGGAATAGGAACTCTCATTGTTTTGTAATGAAGAAGCATTCACGTGAAGTTGAACATTTCCCTTAGTTCCATTTGTTTCCTTTTTGTGTATACTATGTAAAATTAAAGTCAACTCCTTTTATTAGAAGTCCATAATGTAAGATTTCTCTTTCATCAGATTATTTTGTTTTTCCACCCATCCTTTCATTTATCTGTTTATCCTTCAAGTATGGAAATGTGGAAAAAATGATTTTCAACAAAAGATGACACTCTCCTCTGCCCCACACTGGTAATATTTTCAGTAAATTTTTGTATGTTTCTGCATTTTTTCCTTTTAATAGTTTTGATATATTTTATTTTAAAATCATTTCTTTCCTTTTCTTACTACTTTCCTACTCTCTCTTCTTTCATTCCTCCTTCCTTTCATTCTGCCTACTTTTCTTCTTTCTTTTGAAAAACAGTGAAGATAGTTTAAATGGTGAAGGTAACCAGCACCTGCCCCTCCTGAGGGCTCCCCAGTTTGTAGCCCCTCTGAAATCACTCCCTGTTTCAGCAGCCTGTCTTTTGCTTAGGATGACCAGCTGCGGGTGTTTGCTTAGGATAGTCACATTCTATGGCTATGGCCTCAGTATATTGCTACCAGTGCTTTCTTTCACTCTCTAAAGGTATTGTCCTGTTACCGGTGGGAAATATCTGTTACTGGTGGTCAATCTGTACAGGTCTGCAGCAACCTCAATTCTTGCTTCCTCAGAAGAAAGAATTTGACAAAGGGGCATAAGGCAGAAAAAAAGACCAAAACAAGTTTCAGAGCAGGAGTGGACATTTATTAAAAAACTTTAGAGCAGGAAAGAAAGGAAAGTACACTTGGAAGAGATCCACATGGGCGACTTGAAGAACAAGTGTGGTGTTTAACCGTGATCCTAGGACTTTATAGGCTGGCCCACCTGCAGCCAGCTTTCCCATGATTCTTGCCTTAGTCTGGGCTACCCACGTGCACGGTGCTCTCCTTACCCTTGGGAAGTGAGCACGTGCAGTGTGTTTAGGAAGTTGTGCGCATGCCTTTTCTGCCCTTTTCCAGTGGAGAGTCCCTGGAAGGTCCTACTCTGCCATTTTGTCTCTTAATGCACAGGCTTGGGAAGTCACTTCTCCCTGGCATCTGCATTCAGTGAACACTTTAGGTGCAACAGGTACGGGCCATCAGGAAATGGCCTCTCCCTGGTGCTTTGAGAGGCAACGTGATAATTGCCAAACCATCACCTGGCATTCCTTGTGGGTTGGGGAGAGCCCTCTCTTGCCCTGCTCATGCCTGTACCGGTCCTGGACAATAACTTGCCTGGATGCTCTACTTTCACGTCAGCACAGGGCCTTAGAGCAGGGACCCAGGCCACCTGTTTTATATTTATGGGCACAGTGAGCCTGAGGCCTGAGAATCTCTGGGGAAAACATTTGGTGTTCCCCTTCCACTACATGCTGGGCACAAAATAGGGAGAGAAGCTGCTTTTCAATGTGGCTGCTTCTTGATGCTGAGAAAATAAAATTCCACAGGTCACAGGCTGCTGGTGTCCAAGGGCTTCCCCCAGAGGATGCCTGCGGGCAGAATGGCTAACAAGTCATTTCAGTAGCATTAGGCTCGTTTGCTGTAATCCCCAATCTAAGTAGGCTTGTCCTTGTAGAGCAGGAATGAAGTGGTTAGACGTGTTCTGTGTTGGAAGAACCGCCGCAGACGGAGTTAGCATCTCACTTTCCTTGTCATCTTTAAATGTACTCACACTCACAGTATATACCCCATTATCCCAAGAAAAACCTAATGCTGTCCCTGATGCTCAAAGGGCTGTGGGTCTGGCTTCAAGAAGGAGGCTAGTGCTCCTTTCTGGTTGACAGGATTTGCTCCTGAAACTCTCAGTGACAGAGAACAAGGACAGACTCTAGCATGAGAGACTTTGGGCTCTGGTAAGAGTTCCTGCAGCCTGTCCCATCACTGGTGTTTTAAAAAAGCAGTGACTCTTCAGGGAGTCCTCCCTTTCCTTCCCTCCTGCCTTCCTGCCTTCCTGCCTTCCCTCCCTTCCTGCTTTCCCTCCCTTCCTACCTCCCTCTCACCCTTCCTTCCTTCCTTCCTTCCTTCCTTCCTTCCTTCCTTCCTTCCTTCCTTCCCTCCCTCCCTCCCTCCCTCCCTCCCTCCCTCCTTCCCTCATCTTCCTTCTTTCCTTCCGGTCACTTATTTATTAATAGTAATAAATAATTATGCACATAATCCCAAGAATACCTTGTACTTCTGCATCCTCTTTAAAAACAAGGGAAACCAGCCTGAGAGATGGTAACTGACCCAGAAACTTCAGATCCTGTTAGAGAAGGGATGTCTGTCTGACCCTGGAGCTCAAGAAAACATATGACTACTATGTGCTAGTGTCTCCTGTGGAACAGGCCACAGACTGACAATGCATCACCACATAGAGCTTTGGGGGAGTGTGGTGTGGCATGGCAGGTGGCGGTCCTAGTTCACCGGCAGCCTGAAAAAGCCATCTCAGCCTTCATGGGCTAATTGGACTATGGATGCTTGAGGAAAGAGGCCAGTGACTGGTCACGAGGGGAGCAGAGTGACTATGCCATGTGTGGGTTGACCAACTCCAAAACTACTGATGTAGGTGTATTAAGCATTTATTTCCTGAGTGGACTATTCAGTATTCAAGGTAAAGTTCAGGGTCAAAAAGTACTATTTAGCAAAGCAACATTATAGCTGTAGAGAAAAAAAAAATGATTCCCCTTTGTCATTAATTCCAGTACTTTTCTTTAGGACCTTAATTTGGACTCACGGCTCCCCCATTAACTATATAAATGGGATTAATGACTTGATTCCAGCAGAGAACATGAAGTACTTAAGGAACTGTTTCAGCCAGATGACATGTTATTATTACCAGTAAAAGGTGGGAATATTAGCATTTATATGGCCCTTTATTTGCAAAGACTATTCTGATGGCTTATTCACACATATATTATAATCTTAATGGTCATTTTGTGCTCCCCCATTTGTCATGTTTGTATATATTTGCAACATTAAAAAATTATATTACTAAGGACAAATGATGTCCATAGAAGTCTGCAGCTGCCTGTCCTGTGTGGTCACAGAATACTTGCTTTCCTGATGGCGATCCTGACCCAAGAGTCCCCACTCCTAAAGGCCTCTGCAGGGGGTTTGGGTTCAGGCATCTTAAATTTAGTTGTCTCCTCTTGGTAGAGAATTAAATTATGTGTTTTTATAGATTATTAATGGGTCTTCTATGTGTGACATTTCCCCATTGAGTGGTAGGGGAGTGGCAGAGTTGGGGTGGTGGTGATCTTTGTTTTTAGTTATACATTTTTAAATTCTTTTTTTTTTTGCTTTATTTTTATAGCCTTTATTGCATTAAATTAGGCTTAGGCATTTTTGAGTTATTAGATTTTTATTTTTATCAGAGTTTAAATATATACCTTATTTATTTATTAATATATCATAGTCGTATAGATTTTGGGGGCACATATGACATTTTGATACCTGTATGCAATGTGTCATGATCAAAGCAGGGTGATTAGGATAACCATCACCTCAATCATTTATCTATTCTTTGGTTGGAAAGATCATAATTCTTCTCTTCTAGCTATTTTGAAATAACAATCAATTATTGTTAACTGTAATTTTCCTGCTGTACTGTCGAATACTAGAACTTATTCCTTCTATCGAACTGTATTTTTACGTCCATTAACCAACTTCTCTTCATTCTCCTTTTTCCCTAATTAACCATCGAAACAAAGTCTATTTGACATCATACAGGGTAGACACTGGTTTGCCATGGAAGGTGTCTCCCACATTTTCCATTGCGATGTCTTTTCTAAGACCTCTGTTTCCTGCTTAACAAGTTAGAGGATGATGATAACAACAATGGACATGTATTGAGTTTTAAGTGTCAAACACTCAGCTAAATACCTTAAATTCATGATCATATTTATCCATCACAGTAGTGCTATAAAATAGATTCAATTATTATCTCCATTTTACAAAGACAGAGCTGAGACTTAATTAAATGACTTCTCCAGCCAGCCCTCTAACTAATATTCCAACCCAGTTGTCTGCTTACTTGTAGCTAAACTGCACCTTAAATCTATTGAATCTCATAACTTAGGAGTTTTGTGCTAGTTTTAGAAAACAATTAGCCACAGTTTAATTTATGGGTTTTTAAGGGACCTTCTCTCCACTCCTTGATGCACTGAGCTAAAAGTCAGAAAATGTCCTCAGCGCTGGCCTCTTATTTTGTCTTAGCTCTGCTTTTTCTGTCGAAGAAAAGAGTCAAACTCTGTGAAATATTTGAAGAGATTTATTCTGAGCTAAATATGAGTGACCACGGCCACTCATATTTAGTGACACAGCTCTGAGGACGTCCGGAGAACATGTGCCCATGGTGGCTGGGGTGCAGTTTGGTTTTATACATTTTAGGGAGACATAAGACATCAATCAAATACATTTAAGAAATACATTGGTTTGGCCCGGAAAGGCAGGACAACTCGAAGCAGCGGGAAACCTCTAGCTTATAGGTAGATTGAAAAATTTTCTGGTTGACAATTAGTTGAGTTTATGTAAATACCTGGGATCAATAGAAAGGAATTTCTGGATTAAGAAAAAGGATTGTGGAGACTAATTTGCAGAGGAACCCTTCACGTAGCAGGCTTCGGAGAGAATAGGCTGTAAAATGTTTTTCATCAGACTTAAAGTCTGTGTTGACCTTAATCCCCAAGAGGTATAATGAGGCATGTCTGACCCCTTGACTTCCCATCATGGCCTGAACCAGTCTCTCAGGTTAAGAGTACCTTGGCTGAGGAGGAAGTCCATTCAGATGGTGAGGAACCTTAGAATTGTATTTTTGGTTTACATATCTAATTTTTTTCCTTCTAGAATGATGACCTCACCTCTAATTTTCATTTTCCTGTTTAGTTTAAAATTTTGAGTTTTCTTCATTTTGTAGTGAGTCCCATGAATTACAGTGGACTTTGAAAGTATTGCTCTTTACCACCCTTTTGTGTTAATGAAGTAACGTCTGTCATCAGCTTCTTATTTTCCTTCTTATGTGTGAACTCCCAAAATTGGAGACAGGTCTCAGTTAATTTAGAAAGTTTATTTTGCCAAGGTTGAGGACATGCACTTGTGATAGAGCCCCAGGAGGTCCTGACATGTGCCCAAGGTGGTAGGGGCACAGCTTGGTTTTATACATAGGGAGGCATGAGACATCAATCAATATGTATAAAACATACGTTGGTTCAGTCCAGAAAAGTGGAACAACTTGAAGCAAAAGGCAGGACAACTCGAAGCAGAGAGGGGACTTCCAGGTCATAGGTAGATGAGAACCAAATGGTTGTGTTCTTTTGAGTTTCTGATTAGACTCTCCAAAGGAGGGAATCAGATATGCATTTATCTCAGTGAGCAGAGGGGATATTGATTTACACTGAGGGGTTAGTACCTTAATATGAAATATGTCAGGAAAAAGTTAAATCTTTACCTGTGTGAGAAGAAGAGGGCAATATTGACTTGGAGGAATGTACCTGAAGTGGTTGAGTTTCAAGTAAAAGTAGTAAGAGTTAACATCTGTTACATGTACTTCCTGAATACTCACACTTAATCCTCTCCTTAGGCATGTGAAATGGATATTAATTCTCATTTCACTAATAAAGAAATAGAAAGCATTTTGCCTCATGAGACAGAGCTGATCAATGGGGCAGTGGGTTCAAAGCTTGCTGTTCTCTTTTGAAAGCCGGCCTTGCCTTGTGGCGGACCTGGGAGGGGACCACAGGTGTGGTTGGGAGCAGCTTCTCCAGGATGGTCAGCCAGAGCCATCAACTCACATAGCTGGTCCTAAAGAGACTGAGGATTCCTCTCTC